CACACACAGTTTAAAAGCAAAAAATATCAAACAATCCTATTTAAAAACAGTCTGTGGGAGCCATCTTTTGGACATTCATCATATCGCATTGGTTTTCATTTCTTATCATCAAACAGAGCCCTTATCTGTTTATTTTTTCAGTTACACATTCTACATTGATTAAAAAAGAAAAATCAAATGTGTTTTTATTTTATACAGAAATAAATAATCTATCATTCAGATGAGAATAAAGTTAGTGTTAGTTCAAATTTTAAGGAAAACAAATATATGATCTGAAATATAGCACATTCATTTAAAATTCATTCAGGTTCAATTACCAAACATACAATCTTAATGTAATTTAAAGCAAACAATACATTTAAAATATATGGGTTGTATGACTATTTTTTAATATAAAAAGATATATATCCAAAAAGACAAGGCCTAAAGTTTAACAAGGGTTAAACTCTTATCACTGTAACAGACACAATCACACACACAATCACACACACACACACACAAGTCAAATCACTTACATTTTACATGCAATATTGACTTTTTTTCTGTTTCAGCAGCGAAAATAGTTAAACAAAGATCACAGCAGAACCATCGCGCATCTCACAGCAACGCGTTCTCATTACTGAATGATTCAGCATTTTGAACGAATCGGTTGACTCAAAGATTCAATGACCAATCAATCCATAAACATCTATCTCATTCATGAATGACTCAGTCGTTCAAACGAATGAATCAATGACTCGCTCATTAAGACGGTCGCCTGGCGACACCTAATGACGGTTTAGTGTTATGTTTAAAAGTATCATTCTTTCCAACGATTGTTAATTAACTCATATTTGAAACATAAGCTATATTTATATATATACATACATATACACACACATACACAAAAATAAAATAAAAACACATTTGAAACGTGTTTGCTTACTAAATTGTGAGCTGAACGAAAGTTGCAGCAAATATCAGCAACAGGAGTCAAATTTCATTAATCACGAGAGTGAAGAGCTGACTGAAAAGATGATGATGGAATAGGCTATTTTATGTAAAAACGCCTATTTAAGCGAATCTGTCATTGTACTCTTTTATTGTTGTGTTTTCCGTGAAAAATAATAGACTATTGAACTCACAATTCAAGCAATCGGCCCCCGAAATTGCACTAATTTTAGTGACACTAAAAAGTATGCGGCTGCACTGGCATTCATAATGGTGCGCGTCCATGGCGACGAGCGAGCAGAACAGAGCGAACGTTTAGTTAATTTCTACTTCCATAGGAATTCATTCGAGCGCCACCATTTCAATGTCTGTGCGGACGTACATATTATACTTTCGCTTTCAAGTTAGTGTTTTTAAACCCCCCAGCGGGAGGTTTACACAATTGGTTTACACAATCACACGTTGATTAACCGGTGGGAAAATATTCCCATAGTAACATCCCTAATATATAAATATTTATAAATTCAATAGGCCTACCTGATTTTGAACACAAGAGGGCAGTATAGCACTATATATGATTTGGATTATTATTATTTTTGACTAAACAACCATTCTGGCTGTTTTTAAACTTAAAAATAATTCTTAAATTGAAAAAAAGGAATAAAATGGGTTTAGTTCTAATATTTGTATAATTTTATATAAAAATAAATGGTGTATAATTACATTTTAGAAAGATATGAGACATGCCCTGATTCTTTTTTTGACATTACTTGAATCCCTCAACCATAGCAAAACCGTTTGAGATATTCAATATCTGTTCACAATTTAGCATCTTCAATGTATTTTCATCATGTTGAAAAAGTTTGGCATGAATAAAATAAACTACTTAGGAGGAGTAGCTAAAAACTCAGAATCTGAAATCCACATTCAAACCAAAATATCTGACTTCCTGTTGGTCGTAGCTAATTACGGTAAATTAGAAAGTTGTCCGGCTCGAAGAGTACAATATACATATCGAGTTTTGTTACTGTAGATAAAACTAACCCCCCCACTTTTGTCAAAAGCATTTAGAAAGTGACACACTTCCTGCTGCCAGTTGGTGGCGCTATAACTTTGACTCACAATAGTCACATCCATGTGATCGGCCTCTTACAGCGATCACACTGCTGAAGTTTCATCAAGATCAGTTAATGTATGCAGAAGTTATAACGCACTTCTTGTTTGTTGTTTCTCGCCATAAATTCGTTTCCTCGCCACGGCCAAACCGTTCGAGATATCAAAAATCCCCTCGCAAACTTTCATCCTCAATGTCTTGACTTCATGCTGACCGAGTTTCGTGCCGTTTGTTTGAATTCTCTAGGAGGAGTATTTCACATTCCATTGCGTGTGTTTTACCAACAACCCTAAATAGCCGACTTCCTGTTGGGCTGGGGTAAAAAGTAAGAGTGTGAAGTATATATGAAACGAGGAGATCTACATGTGTACCGAGTTTCATATTATTACATGCAAGCGTGTTTGATTTATGGACCATGTTTTCGGACCCCGTTCCAGGGGGCGCTGTCGAGCCCCC